TGAAAACCCTCCAGTTTCGGTACTTTCTTTGTGCTCGAAATTCGCTTTGGTGGTCGAGGCTAACGTAGGTTGGAAAATCATAACCCCAGAAGGAGGAGGCAAGTTCGAGGAGGAGGGAGGAGGGAGGAGGGAGGAGGGAGGAGGGAGGAGGGAGGAGGAGGAGGAGGAGGAGGAGGAGGAGGAGGAGGAGGAGGAGGAGGCTAAAGTAGGTTGGAAAATCACAACCCCAGAAGGGTGTGTGCGCCATGGCCGACGGCCGCCGGGGCGTGGCGCACGGCTCTGCGCAGGCGCCTTCTTCGCAGCACAGGCCAGATCGGTTCTCCTGTGACAGCGGGACGCGCTGTCAGCACACCCAGCGCCAGTGCATGCGGGGCGCTGCTGGGAGGGACGGTTGGTCTCGTGCACGCGGCATGCTGCAAGGTGGGCGGCGGCGTTGTGGGACGCCACAGCGAGGTGCGGGACAGCCTCCTGCGCTCTGCCGCGAAGTACGTCGACGCCAGGGCGCTCAAGGAGCAGCGTCTGGAAAGCATGCGGGCGGCAATGCTGGAGGACGCCGATGCCGGCGACTTGCCGGGCGATGTGCTCGACGTGGTCTTCAATCACGGCGACAGGCGAGTGGCTCTGCACACCGCCATGGTGGGCGCCCACCTGGGCCCTGCCAGGGTGCGCACTGCCGCTGGCCGCGACGGAGCCGCGGCGGCCCAGGAGGAGCGCGAGGAGCGCCGCCGGTACGCTGGTCTTGACGTGATGCCGTGTGTGTCTGAGCTCAGCGGCCGGGCAGGCGAGAGCGCCCTAGCCGCCATCCGCATGCTTGCAGTCATGGCGGGCGGCGACGCCGAAGCACCCGTTCTGGCCGCTGCCCTCTGGCAGGAAATCGGCGTCGCGCTGCAATCCGCTGTGGCGTGGCGCGTAGCCAGCGCCTTCACGCGGCCAGACTCCATGGCCTTGGCTGGCAGCAGGTAGAGAGGGCGCCGAGGGCGACGAGGAATCGGACGCAGCACAGGAGGAGGAGAAGGATGATGAGGCACGCCACCAGGCGGGGAGCGCCAAGGATGAGGAGGAGGAGGAGGAGGAGGAGGAGGAGGAGGAGGACCAGTGAAAACCCAGAGGTCATCAAAGATGTTGTAATAAGCCCTCCCTCCAAGCTCCCTCTTCATAGGCCCCCCACAACGGTTCATTTCCACTGAGGGAACTGCCTCGTTGGAAGACAACGTTTGGAGACCCTGGCGCATGCAAAAACATTGTTCTCGTCATTCCCACGCCACGGATGAACTTGACTGTTGCGTCTTGACGATCCTGAATCGTGCCAGAACGCCATTCCTGGGACTTTACCACCACGACGCAATGTCACTGTTGCACCCTCATAATCCCGAATCCTTCCAAAACGCCATGTATGGGAATTTGTGAAGCTCTTGCAGGAAAAAAGAACGTGCGCGGCGCTAAAGCGAGAGCCACATTTTGAAATGGAGCTGCCATCAATGCAAACTTTGAAACATGAATGTGCGCGGCGCTAAGGCGAGAGCCACATTTTGAAATGGAGCTGCCCTCAATGCAAACTTTGAAAAATGAATGTGCGCGGCGCTAAAGCGATAACCACATTTTGACATCTATTCGCCCTCAATCCGTGAAGCTCTTGCAATTTCTTAACACGAGCGTGCGCGGCGCTAAGGCGAGAGCTACATTTTGAAAACGACCCGCCCTCCATCGGTGAAACAGCGTTGTTTTTTCACGCTTCATGGTCATACATGGTGAGATAATCTCAAGCAACACGCCCGGCCCGCCCTAAAAACTGGCCTCGGGGTGCGACAGGGAGAAGTCATGATGATGATCAGGAGGAGGAGAGGTCAAGGATGAGGAGGAGGAGGAGGTGGAGGAGGAGGGCTGGAGGCCGAGGCCAGAGGAGGCTGATGATGATGATGAGGAGGAGGAGGAGGAGAGGAGGAGGAGGAAGAGGAGGAGGCGGAGGAGGAGGAGGAGGAGGAGGAGGAGGATGATAATGACGATGAGGAGGAGGAGGAGGTGGAGGAGGAGGAGGAGGCAGAGGGCAGAGGACGAGGCGGCGGCCAGCCCCAGGTTTGGGAGCGACGACGCAGAGGAGGAGGAGGAGGAGGAGGTGGAGGAGGAGGATGAAGAGGAGGAGGAGGAGGAGGAAGAGGAGGAGGTGGAGGAGGAAAATGAGGAGGTGGACGAGGTGGAGGAGGTGGAGGAGGAGGAGGGGAGGAGGAGGAGGTGGAGTGGAGAAGGAGGAGGAGGAGGCGGAGGAGGAGGAGGTGGATGAGGAGGCGGATGAAGAGGATGATGAGGAGGAAGAGGAGGAGGCGGCGGAAGAGGAGGAGGAGGAGAAGGAGGAGGAGGAGGAGGAGGAGGAGGAGAAGGAAGAAGAGGAGGCGAGGAAGGCTGTAGAGGGCGAAGAAAGATAGCCGTGTACAGGAGGAGGTCGATGGGGCAAGCGGTGGCTGGTCTGAGGGCGGGGGTCGCTGCAGCCGCAGAGATCCGAGATAGAGGAGGCGGCGGGCGAGGTGCAGAAGAGGAGGACGTGGAGGAGGAGGTGGAGGAGGAAGCGGAGGTGGAGGAGGAGGCGTGGAGGGCTCCAGAGGATGAAGACAGAGAGCCGCGAGCAGGAGGAGGCCGAAGGGCCTGATGACAGGCGCCAGCTCCAGCTCGGACGGGCCAGAGGAGAAGGATGATGATGATGATGATGATGATGATGATGATGATGATGAGGAGGAGGAGGAGGAGGAGGAGGAGGAGGAGGAGGAGGAGGAGGAGAAGGAGCGGTGGCGGAGGGACGCAGAGGAGGCTGAGCGGCGCGGGGCGCGCGGGGGCCGCGCTCGGCCACGCGCGGTCCGCTCGCTTCGGGGCCCTCCTCGGACCCGAGGGCCCCGGGGCACAAGAGGAGGAAAAGGAGGAGGAGGAGGAGGATGATGATGATGATGATGATGATGAGGAGGAGGAGGAGGAAGAGGAAGCAGAGGAGGAGGAGGCGGAGGAGGAGGAGGAGGAAGAACAGGAGGAGGAGGATACCGATGATGATGCTGTTGCTGCTTTTGATGATGAGGATGCTGATGATGATGATGATGATGATGATGATGATGATGATGATGATGATGATGATGATGATGATGCTGATGATGATGAGGATGAGAGGAGGTGGAGGAAGAGGAGAGGAGGAGGAGGAGGAGGAGGAGAGCACGAGGAGGAGGAGGAGGAGGAGGAGGAGGAGGAGGAGGAGGAGGAGAAGCACGAGGAGGAGGAGAAGAGAAGCAGGCGAAAACCGAGCAGGAGGACGAGGGGAGGAGGGGGAGAAGGAGGAAGACGACTCCGCCTACCGCCCTTTCGCCCCCCCCCCCCCACTCCCACGGCACGAGGAGCCGCTGGGCTCGCCTCGGGGACCTCCATGGCGTCCAAGACGCCGAAGCTCTCCTCGTCCTCGTCCTCCTCGTGCGGCACGTCCTTCTCCTCCTCCGCTCGCTTTTTCTTCTTCTTCTTCTTCTTCTTTGTCTTTTCGTCCTTCTCTTCCTTCCTGCTGCTCCGCCTCCGTTCTCCTCTTCCTCCTCCTGCTCTTTCTCCTCCTCCTCCTCCTCCTCCTCCTCCTCCTCTTTCTCGATACCCCCTTCCTCTTACTCCTCCTCCGTTCTCCTCGTCCGTCTGTTTGCTTCTCCCCCTCCTCCTCGGGCGCGCTAACATGGAGTAGAGATCCGTGGATCTGGCGCGTGGGCCCCATGTCTACGGATCGGGGAGGGCACCCCCGAACCACGAGGCGAACGTCGCCCGACTTTGCGACGACGCGCGCCGCTTACACACGGAAACGAGGCTCGTCGCCGATCCACTCGCTAAAAATCCATGTGCACGCTTCCTCGAACTCCTCCTTCTTCCTCCTTCCATTCCCCTCCCAATCCCTACTGCTCCTCCTCCTTCGTGGCTGCCTCTTCGTCTTCCGCCTCCTCCTCCTCCTCCTCCTCCTCCTCCTCCTCCTGCTCCTCCTCCCTACGTTATGCGGCGCCGCCGCTGGCGATCCACCCACCACCCTCATCGGACAAGAAGCTCCGAACAAACACCCAGAGTGAAGCCCGCAGGCTCAACGTAGGCGCGCGCGCTCACGGAGAATCAGAAGAGAAGAGGGGAGAGGACGAGAGAGCGAGAGAGAGAAACACATACATATATATATATATATATATATATATAGACATAGATACTAGAATTGCTGAGTATCGTTTAACCGATCCCCATCCCCAGCGGCGTGGCCTGGGCCCCACTGGCAGATTTACCCCCCTAGATGCGGATATAGGCCGTCCCCTGCGGGTTTCGAGGGGTGTATCCCCAACTGGGGTGGTAATTTGGTGGGGGTCTCGAGGGGGATGGAGATGGGGATTGGTTAAACGATACCGAGTTGCAGGGAGCGCCCCCAGAGGATCGAGGAGGTAGCCCATGGCGCAGCAGAGAGCAGCGAAGTCCGCGAGCGGATCGGACGACCAGTACCCCCTCGGGCCACTAAGGCGCTCGAGGACGGCCAGGTCGAGGAGCCCGAGCATGCGCCCAGCAGGGGCGGGAAGACGACAACCGACGGCCAGGAAGCCCACGAACGACAGAGTCAGAGTCGAGAGAGGATCCATGGCACTGTTCGGAGGGAGACGGGCCTCTCGTCAGGCAGCGATGAGAGCCGACAGCGAGGCAGCGGGCATGAGGGCTCCCAGCACAGAAAGCACGGAGGTGACGGGCCCGTACGCAGCGACGGAGATCTGAGCCACAGTCACAGTGATGCAGCGCCTTGCGGGGACAGGCAGGCGCCATCCACCATGTATGTAGGCTCTGGCCTAGCGAGCACGCGCCGCCAACCCTGATCGATTCGAGATCGTGCGGCCAGTCACGGCCGAGGGTCGCTTTTAGTGCGGCCGTTCCCTACCATTGCGTTGATCTGACCTCTCCCTCCCCTCCTCCCTCCTCCTCGTGCGGGAATGGGGGTAGGCGGCAACCGGCATCGTTGGGGCATGGGGATAATTGTCGGATTGGTCCACTTTCCTTGGAGCTTTTTCGTTCGGCGGCTTCTGGCTCAAAAGTGGCTCAGACTAGCGCGTCCCGCCCAGTTGCAGGCAATGCCAAACCATTCGCCCACAGGTCCTGAAATACGACAGACTGCTGCCTCTCGACCCTGGCGAGCAAAAGAAATAGTCACAACCGCACGGAAAGCATGTTCCGAAATGGCTGAAAAGGCCTGATCACAGGATCAGACGGCGGGGTCGTATAACCACCAGTGCCTTGAATAAGCGCAACGTCGGCGGGTTGCAACATCTAGTGTCCTCACCAAGTGAAGCAGACACGAAAACGAAGTATCTGAATTCCATCGTCGCGGTCTCTGGCAACCGAAGATCGACCGTGGGGCGAGTTGTATCATGTAATGCCGTGGACAAATGTAGCACACACAAAAACTCAATGTTATAAATCCACGGTTGCAGCCTCTGGCGGCCGAAGAATGACCGTGGGGCGTCGCACTCGACACTCGCCGTCTATTGGTCCGCAGGTCATCGAAGACAACCTTGCAGGACAAGAGGCACGCTGTAGGTCTAATTTTCTTGGAGCTTGACGCTCGCATTCCGATTGATGTGCCTACCGTGGAAGACGATCCTTGTGACCAAATCGTCTGCAACCTGGGGCAAAAAGGGAGGAATCTGAACACGCCTTCAGAACGATGGGCGAACCGTCAGCCTTGACACGAAGGAGGACCGGGCGAACCTCCACGCCCACGCACAGCTGGGCCTCGACATGTGCCCTGTTTTGCTGCGCAGCGGCGCTCGCAGCTATCTGCCGCCGCTGCCGCTGCGAGCTGGCTGCGGCTGCCGAGGTCTGCGTCCCGCGCGGCCGCCTCGCCACCCGGCGAGCGCGCAGCCTGCCTCTGCAAATTATATGCTGATGCCGCTGCCGCTGCCGCTGCTGCTGCTGCTGCTGCTGGAGTCCGCGTCCCACGCAGCCGCTGTGTAGCCCAGCGAACGCGCAGCCTGCCTCTGCGGGGCGGAGAGCCGCGCCCAGGAGCGGGTGCTCGCGGGCGGCGGCGGGCCGTCGTGGTCCCAGCTGCTGAAATTGAAGCCCAGACTGAGGGCCGCTTCTCGCTCGGCGGCCGTCAGTTGCGACCAGGACACCTTGTAGGCGGGCGGCCGCAGCGGTGCGGCCCAGGTAGGCGCGGTCGCCCTGGCCCTTCGGGCGGCCGCATCGGCGCCGGCCGCCGCGGGCGGGCCGCCGGGGTCGGGGGCCGCGGCGCCCAGCGCGGCGCAGACCTTCCCCGCCGTCTCCACGCCGGACATGTAGGCGCCGTGGACCGTCGAGGGGTACAGGCTGTGGGCCGCCTCCCCGCAGAAGAACACCGCGTCGCCCACGGCGCGAGCGAGCTCCTCCCTGTCGCAGGGCCCCGCTCCGACAGGCAGATACGAGTAGGAGCCGAGCGAGAAGGGGTCGCTGCCCCAACGGGTGACGTGCCTCGCCGTGATTGCGGGTATGGGCCTGCCCGGCCGTCCCCAGCCGCCGGGCAGCGCCCGCGCTACGTGGGACACGACGTGAAGGAGAAAGTCCGCCACGATGGCGTCATCGCTCTCCTTCTCCATCTCCCACGAATACGGTGGCGCCACAAGCGCCATCAGCACCGGGAGGCCGTCCATGGCCTCTGCGCAGTTCACCACCAGCCAGTGGGAATGGCCGGCGCCACCCCGAGCCCCGCCCGCGGCGCCGGGCCGCTCCGGCGCCGCGGGCGGCAGGTACGAGAACGTCACCTGGTCGGCGGGCCACCACGCCTGCTCGAACTGCAGGAAGACCTTGTTCAGCAGCCCCATGTCCAGCCGCTCGATCGCGGCAAGCTTCGGCGGCGGCAGGGGCGGCCGGAAGGCGATGGTGCCAGCCTTGAGCACGCCCAGGGGGACGGACACCACAACGGCCCTCGCCGTCACCTCCACGGTAGCCGGAGGGTGGCTGGCACGGTAGCGCACGCGGACGCGCCCCTCGGGCGTGGGGGCGTAGTCGACCTCCTCGACGGCGGCGTCGAGCCGGACGCCCTCGCCGCCCAGCTCCTCGGCGAGTGCTCGCAGAACCTGCCCAAGGCAGCCGTGCACCAGGTAGTGGGCCTCCCCCCCCTGATGGGCCGATTTTGCACCACCACTACCACAGGTGAGAGAGGGAGGAGGAGGGGGAGGAGGAGGAGGAGGGGAAGAAGAAGGAGGAGGAGGAGGCGAGGAGGAGGAGGAGGAGGGAGGAGGAGGGGAGGAGGAAGAGGAGGAGGAGGAGGGGGAGGAGAAGGAGGAGGAGGAGGAGGAGGAGGAGGAGAGGAGGAGGAGGAGGAGGAGGAGGGGAGGAGGAGGAGGAGGAGGAGGACGAGGAGGAGACGAGGAGGAGGAGGAGGAGGAGGAGGAGGAGGGGAGGAGAGGAGGAGGAGGAGGAGGAGGAGGACCTCCCCATCCTCCCTTCTCCCCGCCCTGCCCATGGTAGCGGTTGTGGACATTTGGCCCATGACCCCCATCTCGAAGTCGGCGTCCCAGTTGACGCAGGAGAGGTCGTCGAGCCCCGCGGCGTAGTCCGCCGCGATCTCGAGCTGGAGCCAGGCCCGCAGCAGGCGCCCCTCGGCCGCGCCCGTGCCGGCCCTGGCCAGCTGCTGCTCCACCGCGGCGGCGAGGCTGCAGTCCGCACGGGGCTCGCCGCCGGCCGCGAGCCGGGCGCTCCACAGCGGCGCCCGCGCGGTGGCCAGCGCCCGCTGCAGCAGCCTACCCGCGTCCCGCTCGGCGAGGTCCACGCGGGCGACGATCGAAAACGGGTCTTACGCGAGGTGCCGTAGCGAGCTTGCGTGGCGGCTTACGCAGGCCGCCGGCGCGGCGCGCCACATTGGAGACGAGGGCGCTTACGCGCGACCTTATCAGCGGGCAGCTTACACGCCAATGTTGGTGCAGACAAACCCGTTTTCTTGGCGTCGCTCATGTCCTCCTCGGCCACCAGGCCGTTCTCGTCGAAGACCAGGTTCTTATCCGAGTCCCAGTCCGTTTTCAGCAGCCGCAGGCCTTGGTGGAGCGCCAGCAGCTTCAGGGGGTGCGCCGGGTCGTCGCCATTGTGGACCCAGGAGGCGCCGGCGTCGACGGTTGCGGCGGCCGCGCTGCCGACGGTGGTGGTCAGCGGCGTGCTGTGCACGCGGCCTCCAATCCGCCCGCGCCCCTCCAGCACTAGCACGGACAGCCCCGCCCGGCGCAGCTCCGCCGCCGCCGCGAGCCCAGCGGCGCCCGCGCCGACCACCACGGCGTCCCACTCCGGCGGCGCCGTCACGACGGCGGCGGTGCCGGCGCCGGCATCGCTGGCGTGCCCGGCGCCAGGCGTCCGGGGGGGTGCCATGGAGCCTAATTTTTGAGCCAAAATGGCTACGGCCAGATGGGGGTGATTGTTTGGGCCCCTGTGTGGATCAGTCTTCAGCAGCCCGGTCTCGCCCAGAGGTCCCCCATCGAAGCGGCCTCGGCCTCTGCCGTGCAGAATGCTGAGAGGGCTGCTCGGTCCGAGGCCAGCCCTGAGCTCGAAGACCTCCAGCGAACTGCACGCCAGGAGGTGAGAGCACAGAAGATCACTGTGTAAACACGCTCCTTCCCACCAGGCTCACCCTTAAAACGTGTTGGTGGTTGGTTCGTCTAAGCGTGAACGAGTCACTTATGGAAACCCGCGACCCTGTCTGGGCAAAAAACCTGACCCCTGCGGTAGGCGATGCATGGTCATCAGCTGGGGATACTGAGGCTGACCGACATGCTACAGCGGCCTCGCACACTGGCTGGGGATGCGTCCCTGACTGTGGCGTGCTTCAATGCAACCTCGATGGTTGAGAACCCACGGAGGCTTAAACGTCAACATAGCGCCAAGTCGCCAGAAAGCATATGTGCGAACAGGGTGTCCACACTGTCGGCATCCGAAGAGGCCAGGACCCCTGCGGGGTCCCGCGATGCCGAAGAGTACCACATCTTGGCCTCTGGGAGGGGTGGTACGAATTTCGGAGTCGAGGCATGTTCTTGACCACCATCCCGTACATGAACCACAAGGGTAAGAGTAGGTACTTTCAGAGAAGCCACTTCCTAATTGTGCACGCCGATGCTCGCAGAATCGTAGTGCTAGTCCGTGCGCCAGGCCTTCATTTCAACTTCATGGTCCTGCACGCCCCATATCAAGACGCCCAGAGAGGGCTGATTGACGCAGACGCTGTTCAGAGACACGTCAGATTCCATTGGATCGGGGCGGGGCTGTGTGTGTGTGTGTGTGCGTGCGCGCGCGCGTGCGTGCATAAAAGCGTGCGTGCGTGCGTGCGTCCATCCGTGCGTGCGTGCGTGCGTGTGTGTGTGTGTGTGTGTGTGTGTGTGTGTGTGTGTGTGTGTGCGTGTGCGTGTGTGTGTGTGTGTGCGTGTGTGTGCTGTGCTTTGTTGTTATGTGTTGTGTTGTGATGTGTTGTGGTGTGTTGTGTTGTGTTGTGTTGTTTTGCGTTGCTGCATTGCGTTGCGTTGCATTGTGTTGTGTTGTGTTATGGTTTGGTGTGTTGTGTTGTGTTGTGTGGTGATGTGTTGTGGTGTGTTGTGCTGTGGTGTGGTGTGGTGCGGTGTTGTGTGGTGTGGTGTGGTGCGGTGTTGTGTGGCGTAGTGTAGTGTGGTGTGGTGTGGTGTGGTGGTGTGTTGTGGTGTGTTATGTTGTGTTGCGTTGTGTTGTGTTGTGTTGTGCTGTGCTGTGCTGTGTTGTGTTGTGCTGTGCTGTGCTGTGTTGTCTTGTATTGTTGCGTTGCATTGCGTTGTGCTGTGTTGTGTTGTGATGTGTTGTGGTGTGTTGTGCTGTGGTGTGGTGCGGTGTTGTGTGGTGTGGTGTGGTGCGGTGTTGTGTGGCGTAGTGTAGTGTGGTGTGGTGTGGTGTGGTGTGGTGGTGTGGTGTGGTGTGTTATGTTGTGTTGTGTTGTGTTGTGTTGTGTTGTGCTGTGCTGTGCTGTGCTGTGCTGTGTTGTCTTGTAGTGTTGCGTTGCATTGCGTTGTGCTGTGTTGTGTTGTGGTGTGCTGTGGTGCGTTGTGTTGTGTTGTGTTGTGGTGTGTTGTGCTTTGTTGCGTTGTGTTGTGTTGTGGTGCGGTGTGATGTGTTGTGTGTTGCGTGTGTGTGTGGTGTGTGTGTGTGTTGCGCGTTATTTGTTTTGTTCTGTGTTGTGTGCTGTGGTTGTGTGTGTGAGTGTGCGAGGTCTCCCTCGTCGTGCCATCAACGTTCGCTGAGAGCCCGTGGGCCCGTCATGACCCATAGGAGGGCTTTACCCTTGTCAAGAATGAGGTCCCCCACCGCCTTCCCTCTGCCAACATTAGACCCAAACATGCTTCCAATGGTCACCTTTGAACAAGAGATGATCAAGGTGATGACGCATGCAAATGTTTCCACGGACGTCAACGACAAGTGTCCGTGTTTCCTTGACATGCCGTGGGAAATCCGCGACAACGCCAGCAATAGAAGGGAAGGAAAGCAAGGAGAAGACAGGGGCGGCGCTATCAGCCAAGGCTTCCCTGAGAATATGCAAGCAAATACTAGCAAAGAAAAGAAGCCAACCTTAGCATGTGAATTTCCCGGCCAATGTATAGAAAAGGCGATCTAGCCAGACCATCCCGACAGGGTAAGCAAGCGAGGAGCACGAGGCCGAGGTTCAACCGTCAACACACCAGTGACGCCCACAGGGCTGCCATCGTCAAGCCGTTTCTTTGCTCTCTCCCCGTGCTTTCGCGATCACTTGATGCGAACCAGCATGACAGCCAAGTTCAGGATCAAATAAATTGAGCCGCTTCAGTGGCGTTCCCAGTGCAGCGGACCTTCCCGAGGGAGCCTTACACAGAACCACCCAAGCCCTACACGATAGGCTGGCGGAGGAAAAAACATAGGCGTGTTTCGGACCCCCCCTGACAGCCACGCTCGGGCCCTCTACAAGTGGGCTCGACTTTTCTTTTAATTCCCAAGTTCCCCTCCCACTTTCAAGTGTCAAGGTGAAGAGGCTCTTGAGGTTTAGCAAGAGTTCGAATGGCAAGAGTTCGAAGAAGCAAAAAGAAGGCCCTCAAGAAGCCCCCGAGAGGCCGCCCGTGACATCCCAACGAACACCCTGGAGGCCTATGGCTTACAACCCAGGCACGGTGGCGGGATGAGCCGAAGGCCATTAGATGCCTGTATATCTATAGCTGCACCGATACATACATATACAGAGAGAGAGAGAGAGAGCGATATACGTCCGCATATAACGACATGCTATATGCATAACCGTACACACCACATCAATACCCAACTGCAAAATCCTTGGTCCTCGAACCACCTCCTCCGCCTCTTCCTCCTCCTCCTCCTCGGTTCCCGATCCTCGGGAGGATGTGTCAACCCTGCTGCGGTCGCCGAGCGCCATGGGGATCCCAAACAACCCGCCGCCAGAATACCTGTTTAGGGGCGGACAACCGAATTAAACCGATGATCGACCCGGAAGCAGAGGCACCAATGGTATTTTCATCATGGGAAGCGACTGCAGCGATACCTGAGGGGCCGTCCAACCAACTGCGCTGGCTATGGGCCCGGCAGGCACAGACGCCAAGGGCACATGTGGACCACAACCCTCATCCTCATCATGGGCGGCGACTGCAGCGATCATCATGGGCGGCGACTGCAGCGATTACTGAGGGGCTGGCCGACCAGATAAACGGACGATGGGCCAAGAAGGCACGGACGCCAAGGGCGTCTGTGGGCCCTCCCACTCGTCCACTCATCCACATCATGGGTGGCGGCTGCATCGTGGACGGGAAGCATATCCATATCCACGGCCTTGTGGACGCGGGCCCGTGGATGCTGGGCGTGTGTTTGCGGACCCCCCGCGCGGAGCGTGGTCCATGTGACCGCGTATACACGGGATCGCACCCTGGAATCCATACCGCGAGGGCGTGGGTATGAATACGTTCGCCACATAGGGGATCGCTCTTCGGAGACCCCAGCAGGCGGCGGTATTCGCTGCCGAGGTGACTGTTCTTCAGAGACCTGGGCAGGCGGCGGGTATAGATACAATCCCCCCCGCTCCTTGGTCGGATTCGATATATACATAAACGTGTGACACTATATATACACACGAATACCGATGCAACTCCACACACACATATATACACATATGTATAGATATGCATATATATATATGTATATGTATGTATTGACATGCGTACATACAACAGTGCAGACGTACGTACTTACAAGCATGCATGCATGCGCACAGGCGTGTATTACATGTCTAGCTATGCATACATGTGCAGGTATGTGTGGATACATGTATGTACGTATGTACATGCATACATTTACACATCCATACACACATACACACCGACATACCTGCATACCTACATGCCTACATACATCTAGATGCATGCATACATAAATCATCCAACCGTAATACCTATATACATGCATGCATTCAGGAACCGTTACACATGTTCATACATGCATTACCTTTTCCATACGGGCAGACATAACGACAGACAGGCATACATATACATTCATGCATACACACAAACACACCTATACACACATATATATATATATACACACTTATATATACACATGCATATGTATACATACATAAACACATGCGTACACGCATGCATACCGAACGACATATGCATACCAACACATATAAATACATGCAAACATACATTCATACATACATACAAGCGGTCATGCATACATGTACACATACCTCCATACGTATATACACATACACAGACATGCACGTACACATTCATACATGCATACAGGCATACATGCCTATGCATATATACATACATCCAGGATCAATTCATAACTACATGCATGCAGGCGTACATATATATAGAGAGAGAGAGAGAGAGAGAGAGAGAGAGAGAGAGAGAGAGAGAAAGAGAGAACGAGAGAGAGAGAGAGACAACAAGAGAGACCACACACATACATATACAGAACATGACCGAGAGACGGAAACGGTGCCCCCCTCCCCCCAAGCGTCTGCACCAGCGCCAGGTCGTCCGTCTCCCCTTCACCTCCCCTCCTCCTCCTCCCGCTCCTCCCGCTACTCCTCCGCCTCCTCCTCCTCCTCGTCCTCGTCCTCCTCCTTCTCCTCCTCCTCCCCCACCTCCCCATCCTCTTTAATCGCCCCCCCATCCCCCCAGACTGTCGCTTCCATTTGAAAAGGTGAGTACCAGCCCGGCAGCAGTGGGCTCGACTCGCGCCTTCGAGGAGGGCCGAACCGAACCGAGCCCCCCTCCTCCACTTTCCCCCCTCCTCCTTCTCCTCCCCCTCCTCCTCCTCCTCCTCCTCGTCCGTCGTCCTCCTCCTCGTCCTCCT